GACATTGTCAAGCTATTGGCGGAGCAGCCGGCGGCCAATCTGCTGCTGCAAGATGAGTGCGGGCAGAGTGCGTTGCATCGCGCCGCGCTCCGTGGCCAGCTGGAGGTGTGTCGCTATCTGTTGAAGCAGCAGCCGGCACTGAAGCTGCTTAAGGACAACAAGGACAAGATCGCATTTGAGTATATCATGGAGAATGCCAATGATGACTTCAAGCTGCTGCTAAAGCCCTAAACATGGACAAAAATGGAGTAGTCAAATAGATTCTAGACGTTTTGTAGCTCTATAAGTTTGATCTATAATAATGTCCAATTGACCTAAATTTTATGGTATATGTTATCATATTTTTTGTAGGCATATTCTATAGGGCAGTTAGTTCTCATTCGTAATATTTGTATGTATATTTTTTTTTTGTAAGCGCAAAAATGTTTAAAGAGAAACGATACCAATTTCATATTTTATAATTTTTCACAGTTTTCTCTATATAGTTGCCTTTATTGTAAACACGCAGTTAAAGTGTCTTAATTGAATACAAGAATATTGCAAAAGTCAAACTTTGGCATTGTCGAATCTAAAGAACATGTTAAATACATTTAGACTACATATGGGTTATAAATAGATAGATAGATTCCCGCTATGTGCATGCCTAAATGAAATGTTTTTTTATAGTGTGCCCAGAAGATCGTGTACCTTCAACTAGACGCATTCAAATACCCTACATTTTCACATACATACACTACACTAAGGGGCAATATACAAACTATGCATACCTATGCTACATACGTATTATATAATTCTATAAATATATAAATTACTTAAATAAATACCAGAAATCGCACACAATCATTATTTAAATAGATTCGTTGTTAATCCCATAACTCTGGAGATCGTATTAAATGATTAATCGATTGCCTGCCAATCATTGTTGGCACTTCCGCGAATTCGCTGAGATACTTCTTGAGGGTCTGCGGGATGCATAGCTCCTCGTCCACGATGCGCGCCAGCGTTGAGCTCTGCGCCGTGGGCGTATACTTTGAGTGCAGCTGCGGATTTTCCTGCAGTGCCCGTAACAGCTCTTGCCGTATTACCTGGCGGGACAGCGATTGCAGTGGGCGTGGCTGGGTGCTCAACCGACGCATGTCCTGGTCAAAGGTCAAACGGCTGGCTTCGGCTGATTTTGATGTGTCACTCGTATCGGTGGGCGGGGAGAACTTGAAACCAACGTGTCCTGGTAAGCGGAGACAGTCGAAAAAGTAACGAATTGTCAAAAGCAACGAGAGAACATGAGGACGAGTACAGTTGAAATGTGGAACGAGTTCAATTGTGGTAAGAATTTAAATGAGGAACGAGTTGAAATGTGGTAAGAATTGATAAAGTAACGAGTTCAAATGTAGTAAGAATTAAAAAAGGAACGAATTGTAATGAGATTATTTAAAAATCAAAAATATCTGACGAATATGGGAACAATTAAATTGAGATAACAAAAAAAAGATTTTTAGATATGAGAGAAGAGTTTAAAATCCAGACGAGTTAATAAAGGAAGTATGAATGTTTCAATTGATCAGTTATAATACATAGTTATAGGGAAAGAGTTGAAAAGGTGAGAAAACTAAGCATTTGAAAAGAAGACAAGATAAATTGGGATAGGTTTAGGGTTCTACGAGTTGTAACGAGAGAATGTAACGAGTTGAAGGGGAAAGAAGGGTGAATAAAACTGGAATGAAAACATAACGAAAAAATTAAATGTAGCGAGTGAAAATGTAACGAATTCAGGGTGAATAAGATTTGAATGAAAATATAACGAAACTAAGAATTTTAGCGAGTAACATTGAGTGAAATTGTAACGGAAATATAAAATGTAGCGGGTAAAAATGTAACGAATTTCGAGCTGAATCGAAATTGAAAATTGAAAATGAACGTACCCAAGAGTTGAGCAAATGCCAAACTCTGCTGGTTGCAATTGGAGCGCAGCTCATTGACAACATATTCGCAACTGATCTGGGACAGATTACAGCCCTCGCGCAGCAGCAGCTGGGCAATGTCCAGGCGCTGCAGGCTGATGGCACGCGACAGCGGCGTCTCGCTATAGACGAAGCCACAGATGACGGTCGGCGGCTTGCAGCTGTAGAGATCGCGCCGTGCGCTGGCCAGTTTGGCGAGCAGTACACGCAGAATCGGACGAAACGCATTGATATTCTCGACCTGCTGCACGGCGAAGAGCAGCAGGCCCACGTCCTGGGCATCCGTATAGAGGCCCTGGCGACGCTGCAGTTCCGCCTGGTCCAACAGATAGGCGAGCAGCTCGGGCAGCTGCTGGTGTATGGCCAGCATGATGGGCGTTAGATTGTCGGTGTCGCGCGCACTGAGGCTTTCGCCGTGCTGCAGCAGCAGCTCCACCATGTCGCGATCCTCGGCACCCGGCCCCAGGCACTGGTGCAGCAGTTGCTGTGCGGGCAGACGCCGGGCGCCGCGCTTTAGCAGCAGCTCGGCCAGCTGCCGATGCCGGCCAATGGCCGCGAAATAAAGCGCCGTACAGCCCTGCTTGTCCTGGAGATTGATGCGTGCACCGCGATCGATCAGATCCCTGGCCAGATCCTGCAGATTGCACGCAATGGCCACCATCAGCGGCGTCTCGCCCGCATCGTTCGTCTCGTTGATATTGATATTGGTCTGCAGCAGCAGATGTGCCGCATCGCTGCAACGATTCTCGATGGCCAGATGCAGCGCCGTCTTGCCATCGCTCAGAGTCTTCGAGTTGACCAGAGCGCCGTGCTTGATCAGCTGACGGGTCACATCCGCATAGCCGGCGCCCACATGCAGCGGTGTATAGCCCTCGCTGTTGACCACATTGATCGGTGCCTGATGCTTCAGCAGCACCTCGACGCACTCCGCATGCCCCCAGGCGGCGGCATAGTGCAGCGGCGTGGCCAGATCCGAGTCGTACAGATGTGGATCCTGTTCGCGGCAGCTGGCGCAGCATTGCGTCAGAAATTCACCCGTACTCTCGAAGGTCTTGGCATAGTAATGATATAGCTGGGAATCGTCGCCGCCTTCGTGCTCCGAACAGCTTACGCCCTCGAACTCGTCCACCCATTCCAGCTTCTCCATGCCCTCCGGCGTGCTCTCCATCTCCAACGTATCCGTCTGAGCTAGAAGCAAATCACCAGTTGACAGTTTTTTTCATTCCCATTCATTTAAGTAGAAATTTCACAGCTCGTCTCTGACAGTTACTCCAACGCCCAAACAACCTGAGTTCCAACCGACGGCAGCTGGTCAACTAAAAAAATATTCACAGAGCCAAAAGAACATTCAGGTGCATTATCAGTGGGCCACACCTGAGCTAGCCCAACACCTCAACCGGTTCTCTCCCTCTCTCTGTCTCGCTTTCTCCCCTACCCAGACAATGTTTACGAATTTTTCCATTTTCTCGCCTTCGTTTTTCGACATCAGTTTTGTAATTTGGGTCATTGACGGTGCTACACTCAGCGAAAAAATCGATAACATTTTAAAATATGTTGTAATCATTAGAAAAATTTTCATATTTGATATATAGAGGAATTCTCCAGTAATTCAACAAAAATAATCTTAAATATAAAAGAAATTTTTTAATATCAAAGAAAATTTGCCCCTGTTTTTCTCCAAGTGTATGCTACAATTTTGAGTAACATTAGGCTGATGGATCTGATCAGCTGCCAGGAACTACCCTCGAACCTTAAGGATGGAGGGCTTGGACATGATCAAACGCCGTAAATAAGTTTTATGGAATTATTTTCAGTGCTAATTTCATTAAAATTTAGAAATTCCTTAAAATGTATAAATATGTACTATAGGTAAATTTGTTAGAGCAAATTATTAATAATAATTAATTATTTTAGAAGCTGCCTGTAAAATTTGACTGTAGCTTTAAAAACCTGAAAGATTTGCTCAAAATCGATTCTTATCGATTGCTTGGAAATGGGGAGAATTATCGCTTATCGAAAATAAACTCGTTCAAGACTCTAGCTCTTCTAGGCTCCGAGCTTAACGGGTTCATAAATACGGTCAAACGGAGGAAGATGGCTAGATCGACTCGTCTATTGTTGCTGATCAAGAATATATATACTTTATGGGATCGGAGATGCTTCCGTTTGCCTATATTCTTTCCATTTTGAATGGGTTCAGGGTATACAAAACTTAAAAAACCGCTAGAAAATTACAAGACTGCGAGAAATTCTCATAACTGAAAGCCCTATTTTTTTTTTTCAAAAACAAATTGCAAATTTTTTTCAATATAAAATGTTTCAACAATTTGTGCAAAATTAGAAAATATTTTATGCCAACAACAAAGCAAAGAAAGGTCAAACATTTGCTATGAAAAATGGCAACAAAGAGATTTGGGGAGGATTGGAACACTTGGAATACCACCCCCCCATTGATTTTCTTTGACCAGCTGTTGCCCACAAAAGCGAAACACTCAAGCTTAACTTACACTGATGATAGAGATTCAGCTGAGGTTCCTCACAGGATTGGACCAGTAGCTCCAGCAGCTCGGCATCGCCAAGCAGCGCCGCGGTGCCAACAGCCGTGCGGCCGCATGTGGATGAGACGTATGTGGCCTGGGCACCTTCGAGGATGCAGTTGAGTGCCTGGCCAAAATCGCCGCTGTGGACGGCGCTCAGCAAACGCTCGTTGAGATCATAGGACAGCATTTTGCCATGGGGCCAGAAGTGTTAGCAAATTCGCAGCAAATCCAAATGGCAAATGAAAAAAATAAACAAAAATGCGCACGCACTGATTGCCGTGGAAAAATGATTAAGACTGTCCGGAAAAGCGCACGAAAAGAGACTAAATGAATTAAGGCACCGAACTATGGAAAACCCACCACCCGGGGTGGCATACGCTCCGCAGGAGAGCCAAGAGAGAGAGAGAGAGAGGAAGAGAGAGAGGGAGAGTCAAGAGAGAGAGAGAGAGAGGAAGAGAGAGAGGGAGAGTCAAGAGAGAGGGCGAGTAAAAATAGATGAGAATTCGCTCAGCTGTGGCACGTTGCATTTACACACAGCTACAAAGTTTGGGGTTTATTGTTGCGTCTCGATATAAAAAGACTCGCTATCAATTTAAACATTAACTAAACTACTTGATCTCCTTGGTTTCCTTGGCGTTCTGCAGCGATTCCGTGATGAAAAGTTTAGCCAGCGACTGAGAGCAGAATTGTGCAATATGCTGGGCATGCGTATTGATTTGGCCAGAGGTAATGGTGGCCGTTAACCTTGCCGGCACCGGCATGGGCCGGAACTGCTTAATCACCTCCTCCTCGGGCACCGTGGGTTCACCCTTCGAGGTGCGCACAGCATTCTCGGCAGCCAGTTTGGCCAGAGCACGATGTTTTTCCTGTTCATCAATTACCAAAATTGAAATAGAGCATTTTCAAGAGGGAATGAACATGTTTACCGTGTCCTGCTTGAAGACGACCTGCTGGTACTTGTTGTAGCGCACAGCCTCCTGGTAGAGCTCATCCACACGCTCGATCAGGCTACGCATATGGTTCTCCAGCACGGAAGCGGTGCCCAGATCCAGAAAATTGTGTCCCTTATCCTCGGGCAGCAGTTCGTTCAGCTCACTCATCATAATGTTGGTCAGCGGCGAGTTCTTAATGACAATGGGTATCTCGGCAAACAAGCTCTCATAGCCAACCTTCAGGGTGCGGAATGCCTCGGGCGTAAAATCGCCATCCTTATACATTTGTATGGCCTGCGGTGTCAGGCGATAGGCCTTCAAGCACAAAAAGCCGCGCGACGACTTCTGTGTGTCGTAGACAACCACGACGGACTCCTCAATGCTGGTCTGGTAATGATACTGCGATTCGAGCAGCGCCAGCGACAGGCTGTTGCCTACATCGGAGCTCTGGTACCAGCCCACATGCAAGTGGTCGACGTTGACGCGACGCAGACGACGCATCACGGTTAGCTGATACATCTCCTCGTCCATTGTCTCATCGCCGCTCTTGGGAAATGGAAAACAATTGGTGATTTCCAGGCACTTGTCCACAACCAGACCGAGCAGTGCGCCCTGAGCCAAATCCATGTTGCTCGATTCCTCATGGCAGTGCTTAACCATTTTCATGACGGCCTAAAAGGCAGACAAACACGTAAGTATATATTTATTTAATTTGGAATCTTTCTCAGCGGCTCTTTTGGCATTTGTCATCGCTGTCTCACTCTCACGCACACACACTCAAACAAACAAGATGCCCAGGCGCAGCGCGTGGCACTTAACACTTCTTTCAGTGCACTTTATTGTAAATACTTTAAGTCCGACACTTGACGGAATCGATGCAGTTTATTTCCAACTTACCAGGCCATCGCATTGTACATAATTAATGGTATTATCTGAATCCTCAGTGCGAGCATGACGAGCCCCGCGGTTTGCCATTTTGACGACGACGAAGAAGAAAAGACGTGATGTTGGCCGCACACATACACATATACGCAGCACAGAAACTACGTTGCCCAACACTAGTACGCACGAATCAATTTTGCAACACTCTCGACTATCAGCTGTTACGCCGACTGCGATAACAAATAAAACAACAACAACAGCAACCAAAAAAAAAAAAAAAAAAACAACAGTTTTTGTTTATCTCAGTTACTTTAAGAAAATTAAATTGCTTAACGTGTCAGAATTCGGACGAAACAAGCGGGACAGATTGCATCGTCGACGCTTGAGTCGAAACTTCAGCAAGCGCTCCAACTAGTTAGTCGCGACTTGAGACGCTGGCAAGCACAACGAAAAAGAGAGCGCGGCCCCAAAATGACGGCTAATTGGCGTGAATTGTTTCCCACCAAACTGACCTTTATCATATTTCTGCTGTACATGTCATTATTTATTGGTCAAGGTAAGTGTATTATGGTATGGCAGAGATCACACACTAATGTGTTACACCAATTGGCAGGCATCTTTGTGACCGCATCGCAGGAATCGAACAATTCCTATAGCTATAATACCGTGACCGTGGTTCTGCTGACGGAAGTCTTTAAGCTCATAGTTTCGACGTGCCTCTATTGCAGAGAGTAAGTGGAAGCGCCTATTTGGGGCATGCAACTAACTCTCAACTCTCTTCCGTACAGAAACAATCTGCGCTCCTTGGCGCGCGACGTGCACAAGGATCGGAACGTGCTGGCGCTTTACATGGTGCCCGCGTTCCTCTATTGTCTGTACAATAATTTAGCCTTTGTGAATCTCGCCACATTCGATCCCACCACATATTATTTGCTGCTGCAGCTGCGCGTCGTCGTCACCGGCATACTCTTTCAAATCATATTCAAAAAGTATTTGTCACAGCGCCAATGGATCTCATTGATACTGCTCACACTTGGCTGCATGCTGAAGCAGGTGGACCTCAACAGCTTCTACAATGATGCCAACGATGATAGCGAAGCAGCGGCCATACAGGGCGTGGCCGTTGCAAATGCCACGCAAGCGAATGCCAAGGCGCTGGCCAAAAATATGACCGGCTTTGATTTTAGCATTAGCGCCGTCTTTATACTGGCCCAGACCATATGCTCCTGTCTGGCGGGCGTCTACAACGAATATCTGCTCAAGGACAAAGGCGCCGATGTTAATATTTTTGTGCAAAACGTATTCATGTACCTGGACTCGATTATCTGCAATGCGGTCATATTGCTGTTGCGCGGCGAACTGCTGGACGCATTCAGTGGCCACAATCTGGGCAGCATTATGCGCTTCAGTGTGCTCATCATAATTGTCAACAATGCCGCCATCGGCATTGTGACCAGCTTCTTCCTAAAGTACATGAACTCAATACTCAAGACATTTGCGAGCGCCTTGGAGCTGCTCTTTACGGCCGTGCTATGCTACTTTCTCTTCGCCATACCCATCTATTTGAACACAGCACTGGCCATTGCTGTCGTCTCGTATGCCATATATTTGTATACACAAAGTCCGGTTGTGAATCTGGGCAAGGTGCGTCCCTTGGCGACCATCAGCGAGGCCACCGCCAAGTCCAACCCTAAGGAAAAGGAAGACAAACGCAAGCTGCTGGATGAGCAGGGCGACACAGACCTGGATATGGATATTGTCTAGTAAAATAGTTGGTAGTCTTCAAATGTAAATAGAGCTTGTCGGCATTGTGTCTTTGTCTGGAAAAGTGCCTCCCATGGTTGAGAACGTTGGCGAACGTGCAATTTGAGTTCGTGTGTGTACACGTTTCTTGTAGGTATGTGTATATAGCATTTCCCTTCTAGATATTACCATTACTTTTTAAAAATATAAACGAACACCATTACATAAAAAAAAGCAAAACAAAAACAAAAGAACAGCATTAAAATATGATAAGAAATTGACAAGCTTTGGAATGTCTATTTTATTTTGCGATTTTGTGGAACATTTTACATTTCGGCACGTGGTGGTGATTTTCGGGCTTGCAGAGCGATTTGTGTGCTCTTATATCCATGAAATTTAATGTAGTCGGCACACCCTGCCAAGTGCTGATCCATTTGCTCCGCCGGCAAGCGATGTGTGGCATTATATTTACAAACAGCCAGCGGAGGTCCTTTGTAATTGCGCACACACTTCACAATATGACCGGGCATTCTAAACAGCAAAATACGATGCTGTTCATTATATGGACAAATGCCATACTCCGAGTCAGACATTTCGAATGCTAGCAACGAATAGATAAGCACTAAATTGTATATTTTCATATAACTTAAATAACCGTAGATAGCCAAAATTGAAAGTACCGCTACTTTACAGCTAGAGATGCATGGTCAGAAGAGCATGTTGTAATCGACAGGAGGCGACTCTAGGCGCTATCGATACTATTTTTGGGATATATGCGATGCCAGTACAAGTTCGGAGATACTATAATTATTAAAAACTAAGCTACTTCAATTAACCAGCTGTTAAGCTATGCATGAAATATGCGAATATAATTCTTATAGTAACAAATACTTAGTAAATATTATTTAAATTCATACTTACCTTACCTTACCTTCAAAAATACTCCGTTTCGATAGTTTTCCAATTTTTCTTCTTTCACCTCTAATCGATACTCCTCAAATGCAGAAAACAATCCAGCAGTATCGGCTCCGCTCGACCCCTCGCTCTTCATTCGTTGAAAGCGTTTCGTACAGTTCGGACGTCGCTTTTGCCGAGAGAAAAATAGTGCTACAATTGCAGTAATTGTGAAAAAAGAGAATTTTCCGCTATAAATAATGGCACGTACCAAGCAAACAGCTCGCAAATCGACGGGTGGAAAGGCGCCCCGCAAACAATTGGCCACCAAGGCTGCCCGCAAGTCGGCACCATCCACGGGCGGTGTAAAGAAGCCTCATCGCTATCGCCCTGGCACGGTGGCATTGAGAGAAATTCGTCGTTACCAGAAGTCCACAGAGCTGCTTATCCGCAAGCTGCCATTCCAGCGCTTGGTTCGTGAAATTGCCCAAGATTTCAAGACCGATTTGCGTTTCCAGTCGGCCGCCATCGGCGCATTGCAGGTAAGCAAATTGGCGGGAACGAGCAAAAATGGTGGGAATATGTCATGGCAGCAGCTGTCTATGAAAAGGGGGGTGGGGGGCCTGGGGCTATTTCATGCCATCATGTAATGAGGAATTTAATCACATAAAATCGCATTTGCATTGCAGGAAGCATCCGAGGCCTATTTGGTTGGTCTGTTCGAGGATACAAATTTGTGCGCCATTCATGCCAAGCGTGTGACCATCATGCCCAAGGATATACAGTTGGCCAGACGCATCCGTGGCGAGCGCGCCTAAACAACGTGTCCGCCATCTTTAATTAGAAACGCAGCGCAGTTGCTGCCGCTGACAAATACAACAACAAAGACAACATCGACGTCAGCGTCGCTGCCAAATGCAGCTGCTGCGGCTGCTTAGCCTTAAGTTTTATAAGATTTCTAATACTTAAAATATAAGTAATTCATCAAATAACTATGCAAAATTTGGTCGGTATAATAAAAGTACATTCAATTGTTTTATGAAAAACTTTGCTCAAAACGAAAACGCAGTTTTTATTTTACTTCTGTGTTAGTGTGTGGGTATTGGTAGATTGTATGGATGTGATTTATGTTTTTTTGGGGGTTGGTTTTTGTTTTCCTTTGTTGTAGCAAATGCAATTTTATTTAAAGACAATTGTGTCCAGCATAGCTCCTAAGCACTGTACAATATTATTTTGCATGACCTTATCAACTTTCTCTTCCAAATGCCGTTTTGGGTCCTGTTTGCCCACATTCTTGATCGCCAGCTGCTCTGGTGTCATTTTCTCCTCATCCTCGAGTGACTGTAATAGAAAATTCGGGATTAATTGAGAACTTAGATGCACACACATGTATACATGTATATGTATATATATATGTACATATGTATATGTATATAAGCGTATTGCATGCATGTGTTTGTACACCTTCTGTTTATCAACACTGAAACTAAGGCATCTTATCTGCGCAGGCAATTAAAACATTAATAAATGGAAAGAAGCAGGGGTATATACGTTTACGTTACGATATAATCAATTTAAATGTCAACATAATTGGGTACATTTTCCTAATTGAATAATTGCAATTATTCATTGCATTCCTAATGAATAATTGCATATCATATGACTCAAAATAGGTTATAAATCGAAAATGACCTTGAATAACAACCATATATGGTAATTTAAAAAATGACTCAGATAATATTAGCAAATTGATTGGTTTTAGTCTTCTATGGGTAGGCCCAGTTGTTAAAGCGAGACAACACGTTAGCCAAATTGAAAATTCAAAAATTTAGTAGTTCATATTGCTGACTCAAGGAACTAGTTCAATGGTAAGAATCAAATTTGGCTGCAAATGCAATTTTGATTGGTTCAGAGATGCCACCTGGCGAAAATATACACTTTTAAATATATGGCAAGGATATAAAGCTAAATATTAAACTGCCATTGGGGAAATGGACTCAAACAAGACAAGAAGTATATATAGTTTCTATGTAAATATAAAAAGCACTTACCTTGTTATAGTTCTTGGCCAAATCGAGCATTTCAGCCACTGTATCCTCATTTATAGAGCAGTGCTCGTTGTAGTCGGCGAGTGTTAGTCCATCCTTCCAGGACTTTTTGTGCAAATTCAGAAGCATTTTCTGCTCCAGCTCGTTCTTGCGGTAGTTAATGCTAATCGAATAATAGTGACGATTCAGGCCATGGATCAGTGCCTGCACGGATGGCTTCTGCAAGTGTCCCAAATTCGAGGTAGTCTGGCGCGGCTCCTGACCGAGCACCAGCATATTCGGATTAATCAGGCGGAAGGCATCGATGACCACTTTGCCCTTGACAGACTGTATGGGATCAACAACAACGGCCACGGCACGTTCTGATAGTGCTTCAAAGGATTGCTGCGTGTTGATATCTACACCGGATAGCCAGCAGCCAAAGCCAGGATGTGAATGATACCAGCCGA